CCCCCCGAGTGTCCCGGGTCCTTTCAGGCTGCTGCCCGGCGCTGGGCTCAGAGGGAGCGTCCGAGTGAGTCCATGCCGGGCCCTTTAGAGGAGCTGCTGGGGCTCCCGCAGCCTCCGCGACTCTCAGGGACAGTCCCCGCTGGTTTCACAGCCCGAAGGTGTGGGGACATCTCCAGCCCTGGAGCCCTGGGCTGGGGGCCTGCTGTGGGGCTGGGACCCCTCCCTCCTCTGAGAAACCTCGGCCGCCGAGATTCCGTCGTGGGTTTAAACCGTGGCATGGGGTGTGGGCCCGGGGCCGCGTCTCTGCAATTCAGCCCTGATCCGCCCGCGTCTTCGTCCCTCCTACTGGTCTCGGTGCTTCTTCAGTCCCCTGGTTGTGGGGCTTCTGTTCAGCCAGGTTTCAGGAGGCTCTGGGTGATGATTGTTCTGTATTTTAGTTGTAATTTTGATGTGGTTGCGGGAGGCGGCGGGTGCAGCTCTTCCCTACGCCGCCATCTTGTTTCTCCTACCGAGAATTTTTTAAATTGAATTGAAATTTACCATTCAAACCAAACCTGTTTTGGCTAAACCCACACCCACCTTGGCCTAAAGGAAAAAGGAAAGACGACAGAGTGGTGGAAGATCGTGGTGAGGTGCACATACCTCCCCTTGCTCTCCAGGCACTGGGGCCTTGGCACCAAACTTTGCATTTTGTTTTCATACCTTCCGGCTGGCGTGGATATAAGATGTGTGTGGAAACACGCTAGAGATTTCACTAGTCAAAGGCTTTGAAAATTAGTTTATGAGAGTCACGTTTTCGCTTTGAACAAAATAGCTTCTAGTGAGTAGAGGCCAGAGGTGCTGCTAAGCATCGTGCAGTGCACAGGACAGCCCCTAACAGAGCTCTCTGGTCCCAGTGTCAGTGGTGCCAAGGATAGAAACCCTGGCCTGGGGTATGCAACCAGGGCATCCGTGGGGATTTTTGCGGCGGTGCAGATGAGACCCAAGAAAAACATTTGTGCAAGTGGCTCATTTACAAATGATACTCCTGCAGCTGGAAACAATTGACATTAGCTTCTTTTCTAACTGAACGTGAGTGTAAAATAAGCAGCAACACAGGTGGGCCATTCTTCCTAAAGAGAATCCGTTATAGACAAGGGTAAGCGGTGGTTTGTGTGGTTTTGCTGTCTGGGGAGATAGAACTGGGACCAGGAGCCTTGAGCCCAAATGAAGCTGCTGTGATGTAACCTCCAACAAGCCAGCAGAATCTGACCCCATGTCCCCCAGGAACCTCAGTGGGCCTGCCCAGTGGGTGAGGAAGGGACGGAGTTTAAAATGAGCTCAGGGAGCTTTGGCTTTAGTGAGTCATAAAAGCAAACTGTGGTGTGATTATACTTCCATTAAATGGTTAGAGCTCAACTTTTCAGACTCTGAAAATGGTAAATTTTAAAAATCTTTCCTTAGAAGATGGGGAGAGAGGAATGTTTTCCAATATAGCTATATCAGGAAAATATCCTTTTACTGTAAATAACAGCTTCTTTGCTTGAAAATAACCTTTCTGTCCCAGTTGGTTTGGCCTCTTTGCTGACATTGTGTGCTGCCCTGAGGGTGTCATTGCCTTTATGGTAACAAAAGATGGTAGCTGTGCCATGAGACTGGTAGTCACCACTGGGGTCTTTGTCTAAAACAAAGCAGTTACTTGGGCTGTGCATTTACTATGTGGGAATGTTAGGGGTTCCCGATCTGAGCTGGGCATGTTCACAAAACAGTTTATTCTTACAGAAAAGCATCTGCAAATGAGTTCTATTATGGGTTTTAAAAGCTAGATCAAAGACACGAGGAAAATTTATGAAGGTTTTATAAAGGGGACATTATGTCCTACGCCCAGTGGTAGGAGCATTTTGCTGACTGTGATGCTTCCTCTCTGCAGAGTTCAACGTTTTAATCTGTGAGACACCCTCTGAGGTTAATGTGCCTGAGATAGTACGTGAAATAGAACAGGTAGGGTGACCAACTGTAAGGGCTTCCCTGGGACCGAAGGATCTCCTGGGACACAGGATATTCAGGGTAGTCCCAGGCAAACCCCGATGGTCGGTCACCCTGGGTTGAGGCCTTTCCCTCCAGAAACTAAATAGTGGAGTAGAAAACTATTTATTTATTTTAGATTAATCTGATGTAATTCAAATCTTTTGGTGATGATTTCCCACCCTGAGTTTTCACATGTTTGCCTAACCCTTCAATTTCTGGAGGAATTTCAGAATCCCTTCTGGACGTCAGTGAAGCCCATGGCTTGGAGGTACAGTCTTAGATCAATAGGAGTGTGTGCAACAAAGGAACATCATTGACTCAGGACAGGCTGCAATGGCCTTTTGAGGCCACATCTTCTGTGGCCACGTGGAGGGAACTGAGACGCCAGCCTCCCACTCTATGTTCTGCCGTTCTGAGCAGTCTGGGCCCCCAGATACACTGATCCTTCTCTCTACTGAGCTTTCGTGTGCAGTTACCTCCACCTAGTTTGCTTTCCACCCGACTCACATAATGCCAGGTCCCAGCTGAGACATCACCTCTGGTGGTTTTCCTATGGCCACCAGTGCTTACCCTTGAATTCTAGGGGCCTGTCACCCCAGTTAGGGCTGCACTTGTCTGTTCACCGTTAAGTCCTCACAGTATTGCCTACTGCTGGGTATAGAATAAAATAACGATTTGAATGACTACAAGGAATTTCGCCTTTTTTCAGGTACTTGTTTTTTATAATCACTTTTCTGAAACAGCTTTTAGTTTCTGGGTGTTAGTGAAATCCACAGCGTATTACATTACTTACATAGAGCTTACTCTGCAACTGAGCAAGAAACCAAGAGGGGTAACACACTGGATGTAAGTACTGAATAGGATGGCCTTGTAGAGCCCCAGAAATTCCATCAGCCTTGGGAGGGACCATCCAGTTTGACCATCTTAGAAAATCCTCTCATTTCACAGGTGAGAAAAGAAACTACAGATGGGGATAAAGTGACAGAGGTCACGCAGCCAGGTGTGGCAGAGCTCAGATGAAACATCTGGTTTGGGGTTTGTGTTGTGGTTCATGTGGGAGGCCCTCCGATACCCGCTTCCACCTACAGTGGTGTGTTTACCTTTCCTTTCATGCGATGTCTTTCCCTCACATCCCGTTTCTGCCCTAAGACCCAGCGTCCTATAGGGCTCGGTTATACAAGATAACGCGGTAGCAGTTACAGAAATAGTGTCAGGACCCTCTCTGAGGTTTGCTCCGCCCCCCCACACACACACCCCCCCCACCATGGTGGCAAATCCCAAATCCTGATGAGCCCAACTCAGGAACACAGAATGTGACAGCACACACATCAACTTTTGCCACTTTTGTATTTTATTGTGGAACTGAGTTTTTTTTTTCCTTTTACATCAAATATCCTCAATGGAAGAGGGGATATTGCACACAAATATCATAAAAGCACTACATATTACTTCCACTGGAAACTAATTTTCTACATTAGATATGACTGGATAGGATAGAAGTGATGCAGGATTATAAGACATAATACCATACACAGCTGCAGACTGACACAAACACCATTCAGAACAAGAGAGAGGAGTGGGAGGTGCCTCTCCGCCGGGCTCAGGACCACTTCGTTCCAGGGCTGCCTTCAGCGCTGTAAGCACCCTGGCCCTGGGGCAGGGTGTTCTCGGTGGCAGCGGGTCTGGACACTGTGTCTCGACAGCTGCTGCTTTGGGGAGCTCCGAACGAGTGCAGAGAAGCTATTTTTTCCCTTCCTTTTCAGTTTTTGATGTTGCCTTTTAAATCAAGAAAGTCACAGATTTTTTTAATAGTAAATCATTTTAATACCAGGTGAATAACCTAATTGCTTTCAAAGAAATGCTCATCCTCAGGCTGCTTTTGGTGTGCTGTTCAGTTGGTTAGAAGATAAAAGCTTACAGTTCCTTTCAAATGGAAGCAGGATCTTTTCTTCTAAGTCTGAAGCGCAAAAAAAAAAAGTTATTAATCTAACTCACAATATCATCACTGAGCAAGAACCTCCTGTGACAGACAGGTGACTAAGAGAGGCAAGAAAAGCAATTTCAGAATCGTACAACAGCTCCCGAGAGCTGAAGTTTGGTAATACAGGACGATGGAAGGGGGTAAAATTTCCAATTAGCAAATGATTTAACCTTATTAAATGAGTACTGAAAAGCTCCTAAACTGCATAAGCTATTGGAGACACTTAAAACATTCATATACACTGGGGAAACCATTCACTATGATATGTAAGGTTAAGGAAAAAAATTTTTTAACTCCATGGAAAATGGCATTTGGGAGAAGGGAGTCAGTCATTGTATCCAGTCCCACAAGACTGAGAAAGCATGCACGAGGGCTGGGTTTTGAGAAAGGGGATAGAATTGGTTAAAATTGAAAATGGAGGATCATCTCTAACATTTAGTCTCCACAGAATTTTGCTTAAGAAGAATACTACCAAAAAGGTCCGGATCGTGAGTGCTGTCTCGATGGAACCCCATCGCTTAGTGTAAATTCCTTCCACTCTGATCCTCCACCTGCACCAGTGGACCGAGTAACCGGGATGAACACAGCTCCTAGAGGTCTGTGGCAGTCTTTAGCTCTCCGTGATGGACATGGTACACTGTGATGGCTATTACTAAGCTAGTTGTGTATCTATGGAGCTGGCAAAATTAGGCTAGTCACCCAGGTAGAAAAGGTTTCGGGAAGGACAGGAGCAACCTGTAGTGTAACTATTGGTTTTCTTGGTATACTCGGCTCTGTGGTCAGCACTGGGAACAATGGATGGAGAAAGGTACTGATATATTTCACAGGAGAAACACCAGTTGACCAATAACAGCTTTTGTATATTTTCCCCATTAATCCCATAGGGAAAAAAGGAGTGGGATAGAATCGTTATAATTGAAGACTGGTTATAATTCTCCTAAAATGTTTGTATATTTTAAAAGCAAAATAATGTACGTGTTAAATAAATTCAGTTTGAGAAATTAGAGAATAAGTCCATCTTCTATCAAAGAAAAATCAGCCAGAGGCCTGGATTTGGCAAGAAGGCCGGGATGTTCCTTTTCCCATGCATTCTGTGGGCTAACGCAACCCCAATCACTAAAGAATTGTCTTGAGGATCTGAGGTTGTCTCGTTAAATACATCTGAAGTGGATGAGTCTATACTCAATGGAATTCATTTTTGTCACAATGAGTTTTCCACCGTGCGGTAATTTCCTGTACCTTTAATCAATGTGTTTCTTAAGGACTTGGGAAAAAATGGAGTAATAAATAAAAGCTGCATTTCTAGAGAAACCTAAAAAAAAATAGAATATTAGTTTTTTTAAAAAAAATTAAACATTTGAAAATGTAATTCACAGCATTAAGTAGATGCACAGGTCCTCAGTGAAGGGACCCTGAAGAAGCATTGTTTAAAACCCTCATAGTAGTTAGCAGTGCAAAACATACACTTATCAGAGAAAAATAAACTAAAATGTTATTTGTGAAATAAATAACATAGAAAATAAAACGAGGTCATTGTTCACTGCTCCGGAGATCTCAGTCTGCAGGAAACGCCACGTGACAGAGCACAGCTCAGTCATCACTGAGAAGTTGCCACATCTGAACACCGGGTGACTAACCTGTCACTCGGAACCTGGCGTCAGTTTGAATCATGGTCTGGCTCCCCAGAGTCATAGTTCAGTGATGACAATGATGGGAAGGATCTCTGAACTCTACGTGATGAGCAGCAGGAGTGGGGAATTCATTTGCGTTTACTGTATTATTTCTTTTATTTTTTTCCAGAAAAGAAATCCCAGAGCAAACTTTCGCTAGGGTTCTTTGAACTTGTCCTGGCTCTTTTACCTCATGGTTGAAGATCTTGAAAGAATGTAGGATATCACTGGGTGATTCCGAGGCCTGGGAAAGTAGCCTGCCACGCCACTCTCCCCCACTCGCAAATAGCACATATTCAGATTTTTATGTTATGGGAATCAAGGGTGGGAGGTATCACTATTCCTGGTAGCTATGGGCTTTAATAAACATTACTGCTGCAATATCAGACTTCAGTCTCACCAGAACTTCAAAAACAAAAACAAAAAAAAAAAAAAAACATTCATTTTCTTGTCTTATAAAAACACTTTAAAAAAAAAAACACGTCACTTGAAATTTTTCTTTGCATTTTCCAGCAAATGAAAATATTTGTTAAAAAGTTCATCTGTGAAAAGTTCTGACATAGCTAAAAAAAAAAAAAAATTCTGTACACTTGTTCCCATTAATTATACTGAAATTAATGAAACATTAAAAAAAGCCAATGTAAGACAAAGGAAGGTAATTAACTGTACACTTGCTGAGAATCTCTTCCACCATAAGATTCGCTGTTTGCCCAGTTCTGATCATAGAAGCCATTTCAGTCTTGAACTTGCAGTAGTAAGGAAGCTATTAAAGGCTCAATGTGTTTGGCTGAGGAGCCACGGGGGCACTGAGGTGGGACTCCACATGCATGACTCGGCATCAAACTGTTGCACCAGTCAGATGAGCTTCCAGTACCCCCCACGCACACACATGCTCCCGTAACCGGAGTAGCTATAATCTTACACGGATGTTTTATAAACTTGCTGTCTCACATTAAAAAATAATAAGTGCATCAAGTATCTTTGTACATTCAAGTCACTTTCTAAGGCAAATTGTCTACCATCTGTACTCCCAACTGCTTTGGTATTTGCTTGTTAACTGGGGTGGACTTGGGCGTTTCTGCATGCAGGTTAACTGACTCAGAGTGGACTAACTGGGTGCACAGATGCTGGGAGCATGCCTTAGATCAACCTGCTTGAGTGCTGGAAGAGTCTGAGAGTTCCAAATGGGGTTCAAACCACTTGCGTGTCCAGTCTACAGTCACTACGCTATGCAGTGTGCAGCCTTCGAACTGAAGGAGCTTAATTAAGGCGTGAAAATCTCACAGGCCCTCATAGCAAGTTCTATTCTCTTTGTGTTCTTCCAGCCAACTTGTTTTAGAAAATTAAGACCCTTTTTGATGACTTAGACTGACACACATTGAAAACTTTGCGTATGTAGACTACAGAATACAAACTGCCTAAGAAAATGGAGATGGCGTTGCTATTTTCTCCTCCTTACCCCACACTGTTCTCCTTTCCTCTCTGGGATCTCACCAGCGCCCTCTACCCTGACATCTCCTCCTCTTGCTTTCTGTTTCTTTCTCATTCTCTCTTCTGCGCTCTCTCCTCGTGCACTCGCTCGCTCTCTTTCTCTCTCTCTCGCTCGCTTTCTCTCTCTCTCTAAGACAAATGCCTCTACCTAGCAGAAGTCAGTTGGGTTTGCTAGTGCATGGTTTCCAAATGTTCAGCAGAGATTAACTGGGGTAGGTCGTTTTGCAATAACTTGAACCCTATTGTGGGAATCCTGTTACTTCCCTTAGCTATCAGCAAAAACTGAGAAATATTAGTGACTTGTACCACCATGACACGGTATAGCGTTTGGCAGGTAACGGTTCAGTGACTTATTTAGATGAATTGACTTTTTAGAAAAGGTGGTTTCAAACTGAAGAATTTCTGGAAACAAAGTTCGAATCCTGTGGTGTGGCTGGCCTCGGTCTTTACAGTTCGATCTTGCATGCAGGGAAGGATTCATCCTGCATAACCACGGTGCTGCTGCTTGCTAAAACCATAATGTTGAGGTCCTGCTGTTTCTCGTGGGTCTCCTGGTACCATTCCCTCATCACCTCTGAGTCATGAGTTGGGATCAGGGTCACCTGCAGGGAGAGGAGAAAATAGCTGTTTAAGGGCAGAGCCAGAAATCAGATGAAAAGATAGAACAATAAGGTACTAATTCGACAATCAGAAGAAGGGTAAAGAAGAAAACTTCCTGTTTTCCTCAAGAAATGAAAAGGACTTTTCTTCAGCTTACATTTTCCAGGAACCAGAATAAAGCTGAAACAAAAATCAAGTTTTGGGGGGGAAGTTGAAGACTGGAACCAAAAGCAACTAATGACCGTCAATTGGTTCATCTGTAGTGACCGTCAGATATTCAGCTCTTTAGTATTAAGAGAAGCGCTTCACTTAAGGTGGAATTTCCTTTAACACATCTGGTAAATTTTGCATCAAGGACAGTGCATATTTAAATCCAAGGAGTCTTGGTTATTATTGCAGCTCAAAGCTCTCTACTGTGTGTAAATGACATTGTGTCCTGTATCTTTAATTTGTGTGTGTGGTTAGGGATAGAATAGAGTGGTGGGTGGGCTTGAATAGTAAGAATTCCATCCAGTACTCATAAAGAGGCCACTGGTGCTTCTCATGAAATTTCACACAATTGACTAACAAGTCATTCTGTTTACTATTATGTAAAAACAATTTACTAGGTGGCTTTGCAGACAAGTAAAATTTAGACGAGCAAAGGTCACAGCCAAAATAATAGAGAATGGTTTATGGCCAGTCATGTCTGTGAGTTAGGAATATCCTGTTGGGCACCATCTTCAGCAATGCTCCTCCTGTAGAATTTCACGTGGACAGTTAATTTTCTACTTGGACATACTGCTAGCTTTGGTCTATTCATGAAACAGAGGAGTAAAGACAATTCCTTAGCAGCTCTCACGTAGAAATATGGCCACTTTGATTCATACACACTTACTCTTGGGATAGGAGGAAGGGCAAGTGAATTATGCCTGCCTTAGGGTGATAAAGTGGCTTTCCTCCCAGGCCATGGTTGGTATTGGTACCAAGAATAATATTTTAGACTATCTTCTGTGTGTGAAATCACTTTGTCTTCAGGATATTTCATGTGTGACAGACCCATGGGCACCTAATGTGGATCCACAATCACAATGATGCCTTTTTACACATGACTCCTTCCCTCTGCCTCTGGGCACAGCTCCACGTGCAGTGCAGATGCTATCCTGGAGCTCTCACCTGCATGTTGCTGCCCCACTGGGCCTTCCCTTCCAACAGGGCATCCAGGACAGCCCGGCTGGGCTCCTCGGCAGCGGGGTCATTCCCACTCACCACGTAGTAGGACGACCTCACTCTCTTGAAAAATTCGACATCGACGTTCTTACTATTGCTGTGGTTGGGAATATAGCACAGGTCCAAGTACACAGGGGGCCCTGGAGGCACAGCTGAGGGTTTGGCGGTCTTGGTGGCTCCTGGTCCTTTGGTGAATAAACAGAGAGAGCCAGTCATGGGAATGCGAAGAGACCCCAGGCCCAGTGCACCTCCCCTGCTCATCCACAAGAAGGTCCGTAGAACATACAAAGGGGGCTCTAGGCGTTTCCCCCTCTCTGGTAGAAGGCATTTAACACTGGCAGCTTGAAAAGATACAGCATTTGCCATCTCACCAGAAGTGAGAATGGAATGGTTTCCCTTTGTGGACAACCCATTAGGAAGTAAGGAGAGTTTCAAGGCCTTCCCAAAAGATGGAACTAGATAATAATAATACCCCTAAGAGCTACTAATGTGCATCTTAATTTGAAAAGTGATCTAAAACAGATTTTAAAAGTCAGAAGGGAACATCTGCATTTGGTAAACCATAGTTAGGCAATGTTAGTAATCCATGTTAGGATCTCATTTGAGAGCAATTTTGCCCACAGCTGAATATCATTCCCTAACATTTGACCTAATAACTGGTTCAGATCTTAACTTTGCATGATTTCCAAGGCCCTCAGCACCTCAACCTCATTCATAAACTGGTGAAAGGTCATTTTCTCTCTTTAACAAAGTGCTCTGAAAAGGGAGACACCCTTCCCGAGAAAGGCTGGATACGAAACTTAGTGAGAGGAGGGTTCAGAAAGACTAAGCTTTCTCTACCAATTAGGACATACCAGGCTGGAGAAAGGGGTATCTGGTCGCCAAAATTCCCAGACTGAATTAGACAAATCCTGGGCAAATTACAAGATTCAGATTAACCCCAAAGTTCCCTGGCATCCTGTTTGGACAGCTGGCTTTCTGATTTGTTCTAGTTAGAAGGTTTAAATTTTTTACAAGATTAATCGAATTAGCATTCTAAGGCAGCGGTTCCTCACCCTGGCTGCATAATTAGAATCACCTAATACTTATCAGTACTTAATGCTTAATACTGATGCCCATGCTCCACACCCCAGAGTCGGACTTAATGCGGCTGGGGTGGAGGCCTGGGCACCACCATCTTTTAAAAGGACCCCAGCCCTGGCTGGGGTGGCTCAGTTGTTGGCCACCATCCGATACACTCAACGGTTGCCAGTCTGATTCCCAGTTGGGGCTTGATCCCCAGTGGGGGCCATACAGGATGCAGCTGATCAATGTTTCACATTGATGTTTCTCTCTCCCGGTTTCCCTTCCTCTCTCTCTAAAAATTAATAAAAATATTTTAAAGAAAGAAATAAAAGCACCCCAGATAATTCTAATGTGCAACTGATTTGAGACCACTGACTGCTAAGTCATTTAAAATACTAGCTGGATTCTATATACTTAATCCTATTTCCTTTCTCCATAGGATGGTTAAAGACTGTCATCCCAGAGTCAAAAACACAAGTGAACTACATCAACTATCCTGTTTTATTTTTAAGGGTTTGGGGAAGTGATGAGAATCAGCCAAACTGATATTTACATAAACTGACTCATTTTATAAATAGATTAACCAACCATTTTAATTAATCTGAGCTGAAAGCCCTCAAATATCCATGTGTAGGTTTCCCAAAGAACGCTGACTTACAGTAGAAGTTTGTGGGTTACAATTCTTTTAATAATTACAAATGCCTGGAATTTTCCCTTGCACGATAAATCACTACCATCAACGCCAAGCATATGTAACTCATACAGAAGCACACACTGAGGGAACTGCCAGAAGTTTACCCAGGTTTGTGTTAAAGCAACTTCAAGGTACATTCAAATGAACTCATCCTTATTTTTTACTTTGCCTTTAAATTATTTCTTTAAATGACAAAAATGTTTTAAAAATCAATTGTGTGGGCTAGAGTTACATGTTTGGCAAGTTGGGTAGCAAATTCCAGTTAGTTTGTATCTGTTTGAATGGATTTCATGTTTTCTCCCAAGTACAGGTCAGTTGTCACCTCTTTCTAACCAAGGGGTTAATTATCTGGTGGTTTTCCATTAATTCTAAGCACGAACAAATTTCTTCCACATGCATGTAAAAAAATGAAATCTGATGAGAAATGAATCTTGAAATTAATCTTCCATGTTGCTTAAAGTAAAATTGAATTTGAGGTTATAAGGTTCATCTACCAGATTTTCCCTTATTTAACGTATTTTTTGCTTTACATATTTGGGTCAATTTATATTACTTTGTGAACTGTGATCTAAAATCCTGGAATAACTACATAAAGCAAGTAAAAGGTATTAACGCAAATCCCTGTGATTGGTTTGAAGCAACAAAATGAAGTTGGGCACCCTGAGACCTGTTTCATCAAAAACCCAGGTACTGCCCGGCCAGTGCTGCTCAGTGGTTGAGTGTCAACCTATAAACCAGGAGGTCACTGGTTTGATTCCAGGTCAGGGCACATGCCAGGGTTGAGGGCTTGATCCCCAGTGGGGGGCGTGCAGGAGGAATCCGATTGGTGATGTTTCTCTCTCATCAATGTTTCTATCCCTCTATCCCTCTCCCTTCCTCTCTCTCTCAAAATCAAGAAAAACGTATTTTGAAAAAAAATCGTTTCAAACTTTATTTAGAAAAAACACAACCCAGGTATTGCTGAGAACCTGATGAATCTGGGAACTGGGACCAAAACAGGAATGACCAGAAGTCAGGGATATTGCTCCTGCCATGTGCAATTTCAATTTGAAGCAGAATTCTGAGTCTCTGTTAGTGAGACTGGGGGTAAGAGGGCTATAAGAAGAGCCTCGATGCTCTTCTCTCAATTTTTCAGAATACCCACTGGTCAACTGAAATTATGGTATTTGTTGGCCAATAAGAAAATACAGCATTGCCTTTAATGGGGATGTAGCTCTAGCCTAGTGAATTCTTTAAATTAAAAATTTTGTAATTTTTAATTATAAAATGTTATACTTTAAAAATATGTTTTAAATGAAATCTAAATCTTGGGCCAACAGTGGACATTCCAGGGTTGGCTTGGAACTCTGGTTCTCCCTAAGCCTTTGGGGGCTCCTGGACTGTGTCACCTGAGCTTCATTCTGGGGCCAGCGTGGCTGAAGCCATTGCCCAGTCTTCCAAAGGAGCTTAAAACACACCTCCTTGGTTCTGAAGACTTAGAACAAGGCTGCAATTGCTGTGTTATAGAACAAGTAAAGCCAGGAATCTCATTTGGTGAATCCGAGCTGCTCTGGGCCATATGCTGAGCTATCCCCAAGCTTGCAGACAACATTGGGCTGAGACTGGACAGAAGAGAACAGTAAAGGGAAGGGAGAGCACCCAGCTGTGCTCTCTGATCTTCCCAATACAAAGTCAAATGGAAAGTCAAAGGCTCCAGTTAAAAGTGGAATAGTTGCGGATGCCAGCACCTACCTGCAGTCGCAGTCTTTACCGATTTGGATGCGGAGGCATTGGCGGCATTCTTGGTCTCCTTGTCTTTCTCTTCCCCACGTGCAGCTTTGACCTCGGGTGTAGTGGTGGGTTTTGTTGCTTTCTCCACAGATTCCTTCTTCTTAGGAGAAGCCACTCTGGACACCTTATCTGAGGATTCTTTCAAGCCCCCTGGTTTTGGTGAAGCAGCAGAGGGCTTGGACTTCCCATCACTCTTTTTGACAGGTGAAGATGACTTGGTCTTTGTACCTGGCTTTTTGGTTTTGGTCTTCTCTTTCAGGTCTTTCTTCAGAGCTTTGCCCAGGTTCTGCTCAATGGCCAAGGCCTCTGGGTCCATCATGGACACATCTGGGTGGCGTGGAGAAGGGCTGCGGTCCTGCATGGGGGCTGGAGGTGGGTCCATGTGTTTGTATGTGACAGTTTTGTCTGTGGGGATGGTTTCTGATTCATCTTCAGAGTCGATATTTGCATCAGCTGTGATGGAGGGACACTCTTCAGTCTCTGGGGGGACATCAGAGTCGGTCTGGGATGGGGCTGACTCACTGACTGAGGTGGGAGGGGTTTCATCACATTGTCGCCCCTGTGGCTTTCCTCCTGGAGGTGGTGGGGCTCCCCCTGATTGGGTGAGGGGCTTCTCAGATTCTTCAGTTGGCTCTTCACTGGCAAACCATTCAAGAGGATTGGGATTAATGAAGGAGGGTGACAGCTCTGTCTTGGGATGCTTGTACTCACAGGAGGACACAAGGCATAAGTCAACATCTTGACGAGCCTCAGAGGGGGACTTCTTTTCTTCAGGGTAGCACTGGTCTGAAGTCTCATAAGAATATGTAGACCCCTGGGGGGTTCTAGTGATTTTCTCTGCAGTCTCACAACAGTATGTGGAAGTATCGGGGGTTCGTGTAGTTTTTGTAGATGTCTCGTAAGTATAACTTTCAGACTCAGGATAACTGGAAATTTTCTCAGTGGTCTCATAAGAGTAGCTGGAATCTCCAAGTGTGTGGCCACCATCTTCAGAGTCATCATAGCCATTGCTGATGTCATCCAGCAGTCTTCTAGACCTCTCGGTCTTTTCGTAGCTATAACCACTCAATTCAGGGGTTCTTGTCGTCTTCTCACTTATCTCATATGAGTACCCACCCTCTTCGGGGGCCCGTGTGGTCTTTTCAGTAATTTCATAGGCATAGCCACCATCTGCAGGAGTCTTGGTGGTTTTCTCAATGGTCTCATAGGAGTAGCCACTGTCACATGGGGATTTAGTGGTTCTCTCTGTCTTCTCATAGTAATAGCCCCCCATATCCGGGCTTTGGGTAGGTTTCTCGTAAGACTCATAGTGGTAACCTTCTTCTGAGGACCTAGTTGTTTTCTCCGGCTTCTGATAGGCATAGCTGAAGTCACCAGGTGTCTTCCCTCCACTGTCCTTCTCCACACCAGATCTGGTCAAGTCTCTATTCAAGGCTAGATGGCGTTGCATTGTATCAAACAGCATCGAGGCACGGAAGCCATAGGGCTCTGCAGATGTTGCTTCCATTGGTGGAGGAGCAGAAGTGTGGCAAGTTTCTATGTTCTCTTTGACTGCGGAGGTAGAATCTGAAAAACTAGGTGAATATAAAGGAGAAGACTCTCTTGGGGTCAGTGGAGAGATATCAGATTTTGGTGACAGTGTCTCTCCTTCCAGATTTCGCACTTTTTCAGAGGTGAGTGAAGCATATAAGGATATATCTCTGGGAGGAACAACATCGGATAGAGTATCTTCTTGGAGAGGAGAGGCTATCTGAGAAGGGGTATGTGCAGAAGAGGTGGATGGGGAGGCCTCAACCTGAGATACTGAGATGAGCTCAGAAAGATCATTATCTTGGGTGTAGGATGGCTCCTCCATTGGTGGTATCTTATGTGATAAACTAGAATCCTGCATCTCAGAAGGACTGTAGTCCACCTCAGTTGGCCCATTTTCAGTTATGTGAAGCACACTCGCACCCATTGTAGGGTGATCTGGAGACTGTCGACTAAAGTCCATAGCAAGGGAGTGCTCAGGGGATTCTTGACCAAATTCAATAGACATTGAGGATTGTTCAGACCTATGATCTTGAACTGGTGTCCTGGATTTGGCTGTTTTAGGGGAGAAGTCTGGTGGAGAAATTGACATTGGTCTTGGGCATTCTTCTTTAGATGGAGACATTTCTGTTTCCTGAAAAGTGGTAGGTGTTTGCACAACAGACACAGAAAGGGAGTCATCTACTTCTGTGGAATGGGGGGAACCAACCTCAGCATGCAAAGAAGGAGACACATCATCTGTTGTTGGCTCTGGAAATGAGCTTGTAGCCACGGAAGCTGTGGAGACTGAGGCCACACCCTCCATATGAGAGTATGTATCTTCTGCTACACCTTCATCAACAGGAGTGGCTGACTTGTCTGAAACAGTACCTTCAGAAATGGACATCTTAGTGTCTTCTTTAAAAGATCCAAACTGACTGACATCTATTTGTGTAGGAGAAACATCTCCTCCTAACTTTCTTTCATCTAAAGCCAGTCCAGACTGAGAACTCATGGCTTCATGGTCATCAGTTTTCTTTTGTTGACCAAAGTCTTCCTTTATTGGTATAAAGCCTGTGCTTTTCCCTTCCTGTTTGTCTTGGAAAAGACCAGTGGAGGTCATGTCAGAAACTGGACTTACTTGGTCTGGAAAGCCTTGTTTTCCATTCTTTCCTTCAAAGGGGCTTTCAGTATATCTACCAGGACCCTTGTGATCAGCACTCAGAAAACTTTCATACGCAGACTCAGATCCAATTAGGGGAGGGCTCCGTAAAGGAGACAAAACTTTTTCAATAGGAGACTCTGAGTCAGGAACAGGTTCATCCATGGGGCTTATGGAAGCTCTTTCATTATCATCTTTGGCTTCGTTGAATTCAAAGCTCACTGGAACTGCTGATGATTTTTCTATGACTTCTGAGGGGAGATGACTGGATTTCTCCTCAGTGGGAGATTGGTAGTAAGGTGTGTGGCCAGCACTGCCAGTCACAGACTGAGATGGAGACACCACTTCCAGGGTCTTATCTTCAGGACTAGCACAGTGCTCTTCAACTACTTCTTGAGTCACCTCAGGAGACACTGGGACTGCTTCTGTCTTAGCTGACACTTTAATCTCATTGGGTGTCAGAGAAAAGTTCACACTACGTTCACCCAGGGGGGTCTTTTCTATGGGTGATGGTGGAGAGGGACTCAGAGATGGGCTCTTGGATGGGCTAAGTTTTCCATCTGAAACTGCTGAGACAGTGTCTTTGATCTCCAGCATGGCACTGGCTTTCCTGTCTTTCTCTTCAGCACAGTAAGCATCACGTAGAACAGATCTGCTAAATTTGTCTTCCTCCATGGATGAGGGTGGTGAGATGGTGGAGGCTGAAGCATTGTAATCTTTCCCGTCAGTGGCATCTGTTTTTGACCCTTCAGATAACCCATTGAGTGATGTGATAGCAGGTTTGGCGTATTCCTGAGAATACAGTGAAGACTCATATTTGGTGATGTTTACAAATTCTTGAGAAGGGGATTCCGTCTCTTCATTGTTGGTCTCGTCGCTCATTACATCTCGAGGGGTAGACATCTCATCCATGGGGGTGGGCTCACTGGATATCTCAATGGTGGACTGAGTGTAGCCAGAGGTGGCAGTGAATTCCTCAGGCGGGTCTTCCCGATTCTCCTCATCAGAAGCGGTGGCCTCACTTTCCGAGCCTCCGGGTAGAGTCTCATCATGAATTGTGGATGCAGGCTCCCGGGCAGGAGACTGGGCCCCCAGCTGCTTGGCTGAAGTGGAGAGGAATCCGTACTGATCCTCGGCACCGCTGGCCTCCGCAGCCTTGTCAACCACGGCCATCACGTAATCTTCAGCTTCCGCCTTTTCGGGCTCATACGCCTCCCTGGCCTCCTCAGCTCTGTCCCCCTCCTCCTCCTCATCCTCTGAGGGCTCGGCTCCTCTCCCCACCGCCTCATCCATGTCTTCTTCGGCTCGGTCGTCCCCGCTGGCCACAGACCCCCTGTCGCGCCTGCCGTGCGCGTCCCCCTCGTCCCCGAGGCCGTGCTTGGAGGCGCCCGCACACACGCCGTCTTCACCATCCTCCTCTGGCTCCTCGGCCTCCTCGGTCTCTGCCTTCTCCTCGTAGTCTCCGGTCTCGGAGGACTCTTCAAACCCTGCTCCTTCGTCTTCAAACTTTTCTATGTCGTCCACCCCCTGCTTCTCAACGGGCTCCAGCTCCTCGGGGGTTTGCTCGCACTCGCCCTCCCCCTCGGTGGTGGTGATGCCCTCGTCAGGGGACTCGGCAGGGCCTTTGATGACCTCTGTCTCTTTCTGGATGACATAGGCTTCGACCGGCTCGGTGGCCTTCAGTTTCTCCTCATCGTCAATCAGCTCCAGCTGAGGCTTAATGTCTTTTGCTACATCGACCTCTTCAGCCTTCAGCTCTTCGAAGTCCTTGGTTAGGTCCTCAGGGGATGACATGAGGGACCTCTCAGCTTCTAGTTCTTTGGCGGGGCCAGGGCTGGCTACTGCAGCTGCTGCCGCCACAGCGGCCACCGTGGCCCCGGCGCCGGCCACCGCCGCAGCCTCCGGGGCCTGGCCTTCCTTCCTGAGGACCTTCCCCTTCACCTTCTCCTTCGGCTTCCCGGCAGCAGCAAGGTCCCTCTTGACGGGCTCTTCCTTCTTGGGGACTTTTGGTTTCAACGTGGCTGGTTTTTTGGCTTCAGATAGAGGAGTAGGTGGTTTCTTTGCGTCTTTAGGAAGCTTCTTAATTTCTTTCTTGGGTTCCTTCTCTTCCTTCTTAGCTTCCTTCCTGGCCTCCTTCAGGGGGGTCTCTTTCTTAACCTCTCTCTTGGGCTCCTTCTTCTCTTCTTTCTTGATTTCTCTCTTGACCTCCTTCCTTGCCTCTTCCTTTTTCGGCTTCTCCTCCTTCCTGACGGGTGTCTTGTCTTCCTTTTTAGCCACTTCTTTCTTCGGCTTCTCCTTCTCCTCTTTCTTTTCCTCAGGCTTGGCCTTCATTTCCTTTTTCACCGTCTTCTCCTTGGTGACTTTGGGCTTGACATCCGTGGCTGGTTTCTCAGCTACCTCGGCCCTCACCGGAGGCTGCTCTTCTCTGCTGGGCACGTCCTTTTCAGCCACTGGAGGTTTGGTCTCTGTTTTTACTGCCTTGTCTTTTTTCACTGTTACCTTTTCTTTGCTTTCGACTTTCGGCGGCTTTTCCACATGATTTGCTTTTGTGACCTCGGGGGTTTCTTCCTTAGACTCCTTTCGCACAGACTTGCTGACCAGTGGTTTTGCGGCCGGCTTCAGACTTTCCCGGCTCTCGGCCCTCTGTTTCAGTTTTACTTGTTTCACAGCAGGAGCGGCCACCTGGCCAGTGAGGTCCTTCTGGGTGGCCAGCGGCTGTTTCAGGAAGTCTAAATGTCTGAGCTTTTCCAGTCCTTCCAGAATATTGTATTGGGTGCTGTTTCCGGGAAACAGGACTCGGATGATTTTCTCTGCAGGGTTTGCCGGATGCCATACGATCAGAGATGAGACTGAGGTTAAGTAGGAAATTGGGATATCTATTTCCTGACCATTAGGCAGGATAAATTCAGCCTTGTCTTTGTTGGTGCCAGTCCACTGCTGCATAAAATACTGCATTTCCTTGCTGCTCTTGACTGGGTTAAGCACATACATCTCAAGTTTACCTACTCCCATTTTTTGGAAAAGAATGACAGGGTCGATGGTATTGCCTACGCTTCTGAACAGAGGTTCTGGTTTCATGGACAATTTGTTTAGGTACTGGAGAGTGAAGCAAGCTTCCTCTATGCTCCTCTTCATCTTGATGTTTGGCTCTGGGTTTTTCAGATTTTCTGGAACATTGAGAAATACAACTCCTAAATCAGGGGAGATGAGGTTTTTCATCCAGTCACTATTGGTGGTGGAGCCCTGGGACTGTTCTTCCTCGAGCTCTGCGATTTTCCGCTGCAGCATGCTGTTTATGCCGGGCAAGTTGTCGTCCCCAATGTGGGTGAGCAGGATGGAGTCCACTCGGTCCAGGTGTCGGATGAGCTTCCAGAAGCAGGATTTTCTTTCTGACCCTCCATTGATGAGCATATTGAATCCGTTCACTGCAAACAAGGCAGAATCGCCCCTCCCTCCTGGAAAAATGTAGCAACAGGGCTTGGAGAGCTTTAGAAATCCGCCCGATGTGGGAGGTTCCAGGATATCAAAGGGAGATGGGACTTCCACTGATTCTGAGAGGTACTCGGTAAACTCGGACAGTCCTTCCATTTCTGGCAATATAGAAGCTGAGTTGAGTTTAATATTGATGAAGTCTTGGAGATTGTGTCTGTCAAGATTGGAGTTCTTCCAGTCCCCTTCTTCGGGACAGAAGAGGGTTAAACTAGCTTTGTTGGCAGGATGGGTGGTACTCAGTAATTCACCAATCTGGGATTTAAAAAATAATAACAAACAGAGAAAGAAAAGGTTTAAGTGAATGTCATCACTGACCCATCATCTCCATCTATCACTAGGTATTAGAGGGGCACTGGATGCACAAAGGGCTGACTTTAGAATTGCTGGTTGTTTAAAAATTCTGAAATATTTCCTCAATGGTAGATGAATAGCCTCTGTCCTAACTGCCCTAGGTACTTACCATGCAAAAACACCCTTTAAAAAATATTAAACTATCAAAGGGAAAGGCTATGTGAGTCACTTCACCACTGATATAAACTGTTTTCTTTTATTGCACTGGGCTTGGCAAAAAGGCCTGATTGAAACATTGAAGGAATTTGGTTTTGGTTCACTTATTGTTGTCTACTTTTAGAATTTGGTAGGTGCAAAAGAAAAAAGATTGATGTGGTCCCCCCCGCCCCCCCGGGAGACAAGGATGCTATGGATTGCTGGTTATCACTAAAAATTATTGCTTCTGGCATCAGTTCACTATTTAAAACATGAGTGGTTCATCCAGCAAATTCTCTACAATTATATATACTTTTATTGAAGCCATGATGATTAAAGAAACTGGGTAATTGTACAAGCAAGCGCCTCACTTTATCGCCCATTTACTCAGGTTTGAATTCAAGGTGAGACACTGTACTCTCTAGCAACTCCTATTCTTTTCAGGGCAGGCTGGGTGTGAGTGGCTAAGATCAAATGTGGCTCAAATAAGGCAAAGGGATTAAGAAGTATAAATTGGTAGTTACAAAATAGTCACAGGGATGTAAATAAAGTACAGCATAGGGACTGTAGTCAATAATATTATAATAACTATGTATGGTGCCAGGTGGGTACTGGAAATACCGGAGTGGAACACTTTGTAAAGTATATGATTGTCTAACCACTATGCTGTACACCTGCAACTAATATAAAATAATATTGACTGTAAACCGTAATTAAAAAAAAATAATAGTTGAGCATAAACCAGAAAAAAATTTGGCTTAAACATTTTTCAATACATTGTTTAGTACTTCCCATAGGACAGGAGTGCAGAAGAGCAAATCGTGACCAAAACAGAGATTGTGGTTCAATGAAAATGCTATTCTTGTCTCACTCCATATTATGGCCATTATGTTTCATGGTCTTAGCTTAGTAAATAGTATGGGAGAATCACGCCATAAACTCCTGTCTTCTTTTGGTTGCAGCAAAGCTCATAAATCAGCCCAGAGATTCAAGTAAAAAGAGCTCTTTGTCCTTCATGGTAAATGATGAAAGGGCAAAGCAGAGATTTCATGTGGTCCAGGCACCCCCGAGCCAGCAGGTCTGAACTCTTACCTTCTAGTTTTAGGGTGAGCTCCTCTGTCTCATACAACCTTCTGGATACCAACATCATTTGAGGCTACTAGTGCATGTACATGAGGGTAATTTATTGAATTTTCCTACCTAAGATTGTAATAAAATAGCCATTTCTGTTTTTGTTAGCCTGTTTGTCCTACATTTCATATGAAGGGTCACAAAATAGCGAAATAACAAGTCTTTGATTTTGCTATTTCCTCTGACTCGACAATCTCCTACAAAAGAGATTAGAATCAACTATTCTGGAAGCTAAGAAAACTGAAAAAGTGAATGGTAACCATCCCTGGGCATTATTCAAATTATTTTCTGACCAAAGCAAACACGAACACTAAATATGGCTTCTTGTCCAATAATTAGCACAGACCTTTATCACCACCACTACAGCACAATTATTAGTGTCTCTATCCTAATTTTCACACAGAGCACATGCAAACTATTCATGTTTTATAATACATTTTGGAGGAGAAATCTAGGCTAACTCATCTGCTGGCTCTTTAATAGTAAAATTTTAAATTTTAGTCTATTTTAATTTTTGAAATTTCACCCTGAGGGCATGGCAGCGAAGGGTTTGATGCTGCTGTGTGAAAGAGGTATCCAATCAATAGCTCTTTTTATGTGACATATGAAGTCACCAAGTTCAAGGAAAGGTAAAAGGACTGGAGGAATACCTCCCCTCTTTCCATCTTTTCACCTCTATCCAGAGAGTTCCCTTGAAATGCAGGAAATGATCCCAAAAGAAAACAAGGCTGCAGAGAATTCTGAGGAAGTCAAGGGTAACGTAAAACAGCAAAGAGGCTGGTGAATGGAAAACTATGATTTATGGGGAAAACAGGAAAAAAAGTCAGCATTGCTGAACAGGTTTCTTTTCAAGGAGGGAAAGCCTGGTCCCCCCGGAGAAGCAGTGCTTCCCGTGCAGGATGAGATAAGAATGCAGAGGCTGAGGCTAGAGAGAGCCCTTCAAGGAGGGATGAATGGAACAGGAGGAGGAACAACTACTACGGCCTTGGAGCTATGCAGAGGAAACGAACTCCCTGCTTCCCCACGAGCCTGGCTCCAGGCCTCTGCTCCAACACGCCCCCAGAGACTGAGCACCTCAAGGGCAAAGGCTGGGTCTTACAGGTGTCCAGCCCACAGTGGCACTCAATCAACATCCATTCAATGGATGAGTGGGAGCAATAAGGAGGATCCAGCAAGCGAGCGCTGGCAAGGAAACTTGGGACTAGATCTTAGACTGGGAAACTGAGGCTTCTTCTAAGAGGTTAGAAATCATCATCGTAGTGCATGGTAGCTATTATAGCCCAGTATACTAAAAGTTCCTGAGTAGGAGGAAGCACATTTCCTATACTCTGTGTCATAGTTACCTTTGTTTCCCCAACAAATCATCAGGCTCAATAGATGTTTGTTGAACTGCACTGATCTTGATTAATTCAGTATGTGCTGTCCTGGAGTGGACACCTGAGAAGTAACATGAGCCTGCTCATACTTCTAAGCACACAGATTGCTCCCCTCCCCTTGTTCTTACAATGATGGATGAGAGAGGTGACTGGAAGAAATACAGCTCGGGGCAAAGATAGTCTCTTTTGTCGATTTCTATTTCTAATTAAATGCAGGCATACTGGAAGAGGAAGGAAGATAGAGGAAATAAATGACTTTAGTGCAGATAATATTAATGAAATATGATTTGAATTTCTAAGCCATGGCCTACTAACTACATTTCCTTTTTTGATTAGGTTACTTGCTTGGCTAATGAGGAAATACAGTGGACTGCGTATCTCTGGGTTTTAGCAAGACATTTAACAGGGTCTCTGAACAGTGTGATAGCAAAATGAGGTGGGTTTGTACCAAGTCATATATACAGAGCTGTTTCGTGTCAACCTGGGAAGAGGTCTATGGTGGGCTGCCTCAGGGCTCATTTATGTCCTGTTGAATATTGACCTGGATAAAAATGAAGACATGATTATCAAATCTGTGATGGCATAAAAATGAGAGGCATAGCAAAATGTGCAATGGCAAGAATTAAGGCATCTACCAAAGCTCCGGACAGTGGGATGACAATGGCTAAGTCAACTCTAACAATTTGGTATTCTAAACGGATAAATGTGAGGTCCAACAAGCCAGCTGGGTAAAGTGCAATATTTGGAGATGTGGCTTAACAATAACATCCATAGAAGACTCAGGGATTTTATTTGACACTCAAATGGATTATAAAGCTAAAGAAGCTTAAACTTCAAGGCCCCCCTCACTGGCGGGTGCGCCTCCCAAAGCCCTGTACTTAATTTTGTATTAATAATTTTGTTTTCTTTTTCTTAAAGGGAGCCCCCAAGTTATGTAAATTATAGAGCTCCTCAAAGCCTGCATCCTCTCCCCAGTGATATTTAATTGTGATGGTAATAGTCAAAAGTTACATTAAGACGTATTTAATAGAAGACTGTACTGAAAACTAGAGAAGTCATCATCTCTCACCGTCCTCACCTGGTCAATGACCCCTGGAGTATGGTGTCCAGTGTGAGTCATGGCATTTTAGAGAAACTAGACCATAAACAAGCAAACAAATTGAAACAAGTCTCCTTGCTGGCTCCTTCTCCTTGGCCTTAACCTCGAAATGCTAGACCTGGGCCCTTTTCTCTTCTAATACATTACTCTTTCTAGACCACTTCATCTATTTTCTCATATGCTGATGGCTTCCAAATTAACATATCCAGCCCAATTCTTAGTTCCCTGAGCTCTGGACTCATATATCCAACTAATGTCTGATAGCACCAAAGCAAGACCAAGAGTGAACTCTTGAATTTTCCCCATACCCATTCCATCTCCCCTTCCTACCAATGAAATAAGTTTGAAGAACTGTGACCAGGGAATAGGGAATGTAAGAAACCTTTAATGTCTTGGTTTATGAAGAACAGTGGGTGGAACTGAAAATTATTAATCTGGAAGAAAACCTTGGCAGTGTTAGTGAAGGGTGTCTAAGACACTGTCAGGTGGGATAGGGGTCACAGTTCTTCCTTGAAGATACAATGAGACAAATAAGGAAAAACTTCCTAAAAGAGAGACTAAAAAATGTTCCCAGGAGATGGTGATTTCACCATCTTTGGATTTCAGGGAGGGATGGGTTAGCCAGATAACTGTTTTAACTCTAAATTCTATTTGGCAGTTGACCTCCAGTGACTAAGACTCCCAAAACCTGAAGGTCAATGTGCACAGATAATTCTATTTTAAATCCCTCTTTTTTAAAGCTATTTTCATCCAAAAATATATCATTTTTTTGGTTTTCCAAAACTATGTTTCTGATTTCTCTGGAGTGATAAGTATGTATCAAGGACTGGATAAAAGGAACAAAACTGGACCTTTAAGGTCCCTTTGTTATGGAGTCATTCTGTACTTAAACCCTTTTTCCAGTGCAACTACAGGCAATCACAGCTCTAAAAGGCTGGTAACCATTGGTCTTCCCCAGTGATTCTGAACCCACTTTAGCTATGGCAGCCTTTCTTCAAAGTCCACAATGCCAAAGGGATAAAGGCTGAGTTGCTCTGGCTGTGGCAAGAAGAGTGAATTCTACCCAGTGTTCTCCCTTTCTCTTGCCTTCCCCCAGCACCCCTGCCACCACTGTTCTGGTCTATTTGGGAGAACTCCAGAGATCCTTTCCCACGACTGTTGAACGTTCCTTTCTCCAAAACATTTGGGTGGGGTTATGGGGCAGGCAGAGGAGACTATGACAGAGTCTCTGGCCTAAATGACACCTGGCTGAGCATAATGAAGGTGTATGCTCTTCAGAACTCGCCCCAGTGATTATAGACCCTGGGGAATTTGCCCTTCCACAGAACTCACATCCTTCAGCTAAGGCTGGTTCTTTTTCTTCAGTAGTTAGGGGTAAATTCTGGTATGTGCACAGTCTGTTGTGCTAAAATTCTACTTCTGGGGGCTAATAAAAAACGACTTAAGCAGCAATTTCATAAGACTATGCCTCATTTAAAGAGAGGGGTATTATCTGGGGTCTAGGTGGATGAATTGTGATACCTCCTTATTTAAAATTTGGGCAACGACAAACCCTTTTTCTTGCATTCGTCCTTTGTTCAATTTTATTGCCCCAAAAAAGGAGAGGCATGGGATAGAAACCAGCCACCAGAAACTAACTGCAGAACAGCACAGGAATGCAGGGAGGCGCCCGTGCATATAAATGAGCTGAGGGTAGAGCCTACCAGCAGGCCAGTTAACCACCCACCCATGATATTAGGCCATCGGGCAATTTCCAGGCCTCTACAGCTCTCTCCCTTCCCTGGGGCAAGGTGCTGATAGTGTGTGGGACCTCTGAGCTACCAGACAAATGTCCAACTTCCCCCAGGCACAACATGCACCTGGGGATAAAATCTTGCAAAAGATTCTGACTTTAAAGTGGTCACGCACCAATTTCGGGGTGGCAGGTAGAGGGCGAATTATAGCTCTAGATTGAGAATTTCAATGCCAGTGGACAAAGGTTTACTTGACCTTTACAGTATGTGGGTGCAATGGATATGAGATGGAGGAAGACATACCTTAGAGGAAGACAGATCACAGGCTCTGGAGAAAGACAGGGCCCTGTGGCCCATTCTCTCTGTGAGGAGCCAGGACTATCTGCCTCTGCACCCAGATGACAACACTAAGTAAACTGTTCCTTTTCAGTTTTTTATCTACTCTCTCCCAGTGGGTGGGGAGTAAAACATGGTTATGTCATCGGACCAGTCTTTTTATAGGAGCCTCCAGGTGAGCCAAATAAAGCTGGGCAGTTTATTTACAGCTCTTGCCAGTGATGAGAAGAACACAGAGACCTCTCTGTGAGGCGCAGCCTCAGGAAAATTAAATGCAGAAAGACAGATGGCCCCTCACAACACCCAAGAGACCAAGAGGCCGCCACCACAGGAAGTTCTCAGGAAGATGGTTTTAAATAGAGGTGGTAACTCCTCCTGTCAACACACCCCTCAACCCTCCATGTGGAAATCTGCTATCAGCTACAGGCAGGCCCCAACCTGCTATGGTGACAGCCCTGAACTGTTTCCGTAACTACTATAAGCAAATAAACAAAAGGGAAGAGGCACATTCTTTTAGAGAAGTTGCCCAGCCAGGATAAATTCTCAAGCAGAAATAACCAAATTAAAATCTTCACTCTGATTTTCCCAAATGCCACTACTGTCATATAGTTTTCAGTACTTCACATATGTCATCCTTGAATACGCGACATTCATCAGAAATATTAATGATCCAGCTTCAGTCCAGCTTCTTCAACCCTCTTTTTCTTGGGGCATGAATGTGAACCATGAACATGCCCATTTTCCTACTCGTATCCCCTTCTCGAGCCCTCTCATTTTGGGGCCGTTCAAACAGCCCAAGTTCAAACATCGGGACCAGGCATTAAAAGTAAGAGAAATCAAACATAATTAGATGAGGAAAAGTAAGTTCAAGTACTGAAAGAGATCAGGGCAGTTAAATCCTACCAAGAGTCCCAGAGATTTTTGGAATATTCTTCAGAAAACAGGAAGCCTGGGTTTTCTTTTGGGCTCATTTCAAGTGTTTCCATCATTCTTTACCATCTGTAAAATGTTGACTGTTCCAACCCCCCTCCATCTGTATCTCGGGCCATTAAGAATGCTTCCAATTAATTATAGATGAGTGCTCTAAATTCTTTTGGTGATGAGCCATAGAGTTATAGTATGTTGGATCACGGTTTTGCTTATTTCAAAGGAGGTGTGACATCCCCTCCCCTTCTTATTGTATTTCCCTGGAGTGCTTTCAAAGAGCAGCCTGAGGCTACAACAGCAACAAAGCGACTGTAAAGCTTACATACTCCCAGACAGAAGCCCACCTCTTGATCAGTGAAAATCTCTATGAAGTTCTGGAAGGAGAAAGAGCCGGACTGGAGAATGAGCTCTCCGGTATTTTCGAAACACTGCCCGGTCAGCACAAGCAGCTTGTGTCGGGCAGCATCAGTGATCATTAAGCGCACCTGAAACAAAGCACAGGGAATAGGACAGGAGTCACAGCAGCTCTGTCATCCCCCTTCAGGACAGGGCCAGCCCTGGGGATGTTTCAAGTTTATTACCAATAAAAGTAATTCATTCCCTGGTCATTCACTTCCCCCGGGGGAGTGGACAGAGCCAATGACTGTGGTCATCAGATCGTCCATGAACATGATTTTCCAAGTTTGGCTACCACCAAGACAGAAGCGGTGGTTGACTTTCTCCCTAGTTTCGTTTTCTTTTTCAAAGCAGCCTCCGTAGCTGGTGATCATTTGTTCCACAGCTGTGTCTGCTAGCAGCATGTGGTCTGAGACTTGTGAATATCTCACAGGCTGAGTCACAAGAACAGCCCAGGTCTCCCAACTGCCGCCTCAGGAAAGAGGTTTCCAAGTAGGGTCCCAAGTCAGCCCCTCCCATCCCTTTCCTTCCCCTTCCTTCCAAGCCACACACCAAACACACAGCTCAAATGCAGCCTGCAATGGGACCAGCCAGATACCTAACCTTGAACAGAAACAAAAGGCTGCCCCTGAATGGGAACCTTTTAAATGGAATTGAACTTAAAGTGGCTGAACGGCAGCCTGTCCTTCAGCAGAAACACTGCTCTAAGCACCAAGGTAATCATTCTATCCCCAGTCCGCTCAGGGAGGGACACAAAAGTAAACAGGCCCCACCGCCCCCAACAAACCCACAGTCTAATCAAGAAAACACATATACTGGAGTAATTATTCCAGCAACTCAACAAAGAAAACGGTAAATGAAGATACATCAGCCCCTCTGGCCTGGGTCACCAGAGACTCTCGGCTTCAGTCAAGTTGTTGTACAGTGGGCTCTCAAATACTTTACTCTCCCTGGCAAAAATTTCATAGGATGGAAAGAGTAATACTATTAATCAGAATAGCCAACATTTATACTTCAGTTGTTATGTGCCATGCTGTGTTCTAAGTCCTTCATATTTCAAAGCACCACATTAAATATGAAAATTAAATGTAAGCACTGTATAATCGTCATTTCACAGAGGTAGCAATGGAGACAGAGACCGTTAATACCTGCCCAAGGTCACCAGTGAAGAGTGGGAGAGCCCAGGCAGTGTGGCACCAGAGGCCATGCTCCCGACCGCTATGCCCTCCTGCCTTTCCACAGCGCTAAGGGAGGGCATGGGCAGGATGCACCTGAAGGGGCTTGCCTCTGAGATGCCTTGTCTGGGTCTTGGGTGTCCCAGCCTGAGGGCTTGCCATCTACTTCCCCTGCTACATCCTAGCAGAATCCATCCCAGCAGCACGTCCTCTATGTACACCCAAGATTTCTACCCACTAGCCTCGAGGAAATATTCCAGTTCCAGAATATTCTTCCACTTCGTCCTCATTGGGAAGGGCAGTCTGGGGCGGTGCTGATACGGAGAACCAGCACTGACTGGACCCACACCCTGAGCCAAGAACTTTTCTCTCCCCTGTCCCTCTGCTGCCTGCTGCCCCAGTCACTCTGATCAGCTGGGTCCCCTCCTCTGTGTGAGGCCCCCCTGAGATGCCACGGAGCCCGATGCCCACCTCAGTGCTGACCGCTTCGTCTGAAGGGTTGATCAGGACCACCGTTTCTAACACGTCACTTCGGTGATGAAGGATCTTTTGTCCTGCAGGCACAAAAACACAGACAAAAGAGGAGACCTTTAGCTTTTCCGGATTAAAACCGCCCGCCTGCTTCTGGGGCGGCTGGACGGTTTCTGCTACTGAGGAGGCACAGGCACAGGCTTNCCGCCCGCCTGCTTCTGGGGCGGCTGGACGGTTTCTGCTACTGAGGAGGCACAGGCACAGGCACAGGCACAGGCTTCTCCACGTCAGCTTGGGAAACACAACAGTCGGTGTTACTAAACACAAGTGTACAGGTCCCAGCAGGCTCCTCCAGGACCTGGGTCCCTGTGGTCTGGGGCTCCTCGCGCTCTCATCACCCCCTAACTTGCGTGGTTGATCTCCAGGCTGCCTGTGGGTTACTGTCGGTTTTCATCTGAGACAGGGGGGGATGCCAGGAAAACTCAACGGGGCTCTTGACATTTCCTTTCTCATGGTAATTGGGGATGTTTCTCCGTATCAGCCTTTCTTCTGGTGAGAACGGTGCTGAGATTAATTAGGAGCCTTATTGTGAAATGAATGACATCCAGAAACCCCAGCTCACAATTAGCCCAACAGCCAGAATGGCTGTCTGAGGCAGGCTTACAGTCTGCTGGGGTAGTCATTAATTAATTCACTTGCTCATAGAAAAGTGGAGAAGCTGTGAGCAAATGAAAAGTGGAGAACAGCTCTCCTGCTGGACAGGGAGGCCAAACTGTCCCCTAAATACACGCAAAGTTGCGGGGGAACAACAAAGCCAGGTGTTGTGGGAAGGAAGAAGCCTGTCAAAGGAGGGCTGAAATTCTGCTGTGTTTTTGGCTCCACATCCCTAACTTCCCCCATCACAAAGGTTTTAGGGACATCCTGTGGCTGACCGAACCTCCGGTCCATGTGGACTGAGGTCGATGAGTGACCTGCAAAGGCTCCCTATCCTTGGGCAATGAGAGGAAAGTGATCAGCGTGGGGATAGATGCTCTGCCAATCAAGGAGGGACAAAGAAGACAGGTGAGAGGGAGACACAGAGTTGGGAGGGGAGACAAGAACATGTGTGCGGACTGGAAGTACAATGAAGGTGAGATAATGGGAGGAAATGCAAAAGAATCTGAAGCAGACAGACACCAAAGGAGAGAAACACAAGAGAGAATGACCAAAAAGCAACTGTTCTTCCAAAAGCTAAAAACAGAATTACTATATGACCTAACTATTCCACTCCTAGGTGGACTAAAAGTGGGGATTTGAATACACATTTGTATGCCAATGTTCACTGCAGCATGATTCACAATAGCCAAAAGGTGGAAGAACCCAAAAGTCCATCTATGGATGAAACAAAATATCGTGGACCCATGCAATAGAATATTATTCAGCCATGAAAAGGAATGAAGTTCTGATACATACAACACCATGGGTGAACCCTTAAAATATTATGCTAAGTGAAATAAGCCAGACACAGAGGGACAAATACTGCATAATTCCACTTACATGTAATATCTAGAATAGGCAAATTCATAGAGTCAAGAGAGCAAATTAGAAGTTACCAGAGACTGGGAGAGAGGGAATGGACAGTTACTGCTTAATGGGTACAGAGTTTCTGTTTGGGGTATTGAGAAAATTATGGCAACAGAGGTGTTGGTTACACAACATTGTGAATGTAATTAATGCCACTAAACTGTACATTTAAAAATAGTTAAAATGGCAAAATTTATGTTCTCTTTATATTTTATCAGAACTTAAAAAATTAATAATGTAGTATACCAAAACCTATTGAATAGTACACTTTAGATGGGTGAATTGTATGGTATGCAAATTGTAATCTCAATAAAGAGGTTTAAGAAAAGCAGCCCAGGATACGCAGCTCAGAGCTTTTCTCCTTCGTATCATCAGGGACCAGAACTCCTATGGAAACAGCAGCATGTTGAGATTCCACCACTGCATCACCAAGCCCGTTCCTTCACTGGCTTACCTTTCCTAACAGTAATTCTTACCAGTAGACCCCACATTAGACTTGGGAGGTGCCCAAACTAAACAATACTGGTGCAGGGCACTGTTCTAAGCACCGCACATGTAATAATTCATTTAATCCCCAGCAGAGCTCAACGACACGCACCGTGTCCCCTTTTACTATGAGGACAATGAGGTCTACCGAAGACAGTGAACCAGACGATCACACAACTAGTACGTGGTCAAGCCAGGACTTGAACAAGGCACGGGTGTTAAATGCCGAGGGAGAGCTAGGGGGAAATCCAGGGGACTGAAATCAGAAATGTGCTCAAAGAAGCAAGAAACCAGAAAGCTTCAGGAAAATATTAGCAAAAAGGAAAAGGGAAAGCCAAGGTGGCAGAAGGCCCCCATAAACGAGGGTAAGTTTAAGAGAAGGGGTGTGATCCTTTACTCCCAATGCCTGAAAACAAAGAACCCCAAAACAACGTCGCACAACTGGAATGGGACTGAGGCTCGAGAAAAATAATTCAACCCAGACACCGGCAAGAACGTTCGTCTGCGAACGCCAGAGTCTGTCATTTGCTGGACGTGGCTTTTTGGATGGGCTGTGTCTGCTTTTGACAAGCATATGCGTCTAAAGCTCAAGCAAAAGAACATCCAATTGAACAAGCAAATGATAAAACGACAGCCAGCAAAACACAGAGCCGTCCCCTTTCTAAACCCTACCATCAGTGGTCTTCAGGGGCTTCAAAGGCTCTAAGTTGAGACAAAATTAAACGAAAGGAGAAGTGAAAGGTCGTCTCCTTGACCGAAAGTTTGGCCTGTTTTCAGGCAGCATAAAGCACAGTATGACTGTAGTCACTACTACACTCCGTAGGAACCCACAAAAGCAGACTGGCTCCTTCCCCAAGACATGGCAAAGGAATCAGAGCCCCCTTCTTTCCTAAGTGATGGCCAAGCTGCCCCAGCCCTGCTAACTGCATCCTCCCAGATGCGCACCAAGCGACAGCGCAGCCGGCCGGAGCCTCGCCGAGCCTCGGCCCACCCAGGGGGCCCTTCCCCGACACTCCCTGGCTGAGGCTTCTTACCATCCACAAGAAGTTCCCTTCCTCGGTGGCTTCACCACTTACAAACAAAACAAATGCCATGTGACAGCGGCCGGTGACCTCTCCTCCTCCACGTCGGTTTTCAGACCTGTTTGCTCAGGAATTCAACTGAGGATGTTCTTCCTGCCCATCTTTGGAAACACTGACACAGACGTGCACCAAGATGCCATGGCTGCGCCTTCAACAAAAGCCTTTTTATAGGATTGGATTTGAATGAAGGAGGGGATTTAAAGAGAGAGAGAGACAAGCTTCAAGCTCTTGTCACAGCCAGACTGCTGGCCAGATGCTTCTCTGGACGATGTAATCGGGGGCCGGGCCTTCCTGGCATCCGGCAACCCGGGGCCTGCCTGAGGGGCTGGAGCGCCGTGCCCCCATCCCCGCGTCCCGTGGGATGCCAGCTCTTCTGGCAGCAGGCTGCTCTGGGCTCTGGCTGCCTGGACGCTTACAAAGTTGCATATTTGGGGAATGTTTCACACTGGGAAACGGGCCAGGCATTCTGAAGGAGAGGCCGCCACCCTCGCCTGCAAAGGTCCCATTCAGTCTCTTCAGAGAATAAGTTCCCAGGAAAGAAAGACAAGCGGGTTGCAGCCGCTCTCTCCACCACGATAGATTGCATTCTCCAGAGGCAGCTCACGGGGGACCATTACCATTAGGCAGCCGATGAATAGGTAACGCTGCTCGGCCCGGCTGAGGGAGGCAAAAGCAGGGGGTTGGGATGGAATGATTGTCAGCACTGCTTTGATAAGACACTCTTTGAGGGCTCCCCACAAACCCAGTGACATTGTGAAGGCTCCATCCCAGGGAGGCAGTGGGGGGAGGGCTGTTATGTGACACAGAAAAAGGGGTCTGCTCCACCTTAGAAACAACAGAGGATGGTCTGGGACCCCCTGAGGCAGCAGGGTCTTTGCAGACAATGAGACTTTTGTCTGTATACTTGCAAAGGCCAAGCTTGAAAAGCAAATAAGCCGGTATTTTTCAGTTATTGTTGGGACTCTTTTCCTTTTTGAACGTTGAATCCATGTCTTTTAAGGTTGGGCCATTCTAGTGGTTTATGTTTTACTATATTCAAGTGACTTTGAAATCTCTTGAAACAAAATGTTGTTTCCTAGGTATATAATTTGTAGGATGGTTATGGGGTCTCTCCACAGAGTTTAATACTCTTCTAAGCTCCCTCCCCCCCTCTCCCTCTCCTTCCCTTTCCCTCCCCCTCCTGGTTTTTGAAGACACTGACCACAGCTGAATTCAGACACCGAGTGCTGAGGCACAGCCACAACCAGACCTCCATAAACTTGGAAGCTTCTCTTACACACAGCTGACCCTTCTCTCCCACACGCATCGGCCCAGCACACAGTGACTGCGGGGGCTCTAATGTGTCTGCTGGGGCCAGAGCAACACCCAAAACTGTCAGCCCTGTTAGGCAGCTGCTACAGCTGCAGCAGCACTAAAAAAGGGGGAAACCCTTGATGATGAAAATAATAATTAGCAATGCTAAAGCCTTGTCAGTTGTCTTCAAGTGAATGATAACTCTGTATGTTTTAAAGATAAATATTTAATTATAACACCCTTTTCCTAAAAAAGAAACACATTGCAACATAATCCAGAAATAGAAATTGAAGAGGAAAGAAAGCCTTCGATACATCTTCAGTATGGAAGGGAGGAGATAAGGGGGTTCCTGAGTCACTGATATGGATGGAGTGGTGACCAGAACAGGGTCAGGGCCGGGGCTCCAGAAGAAGGGCCCTCGGGCCCACCTATCTCTGCCCCTGACTCCACCAGCACCCACCGTTGCCCGTCTTCACCCACCAACTCCTCTGGTCCCTGGTCCAGGTGAAACCACAGTGGATTCTTTTTGGAAAAGGCATTTGACATTGTGACTCAGCATTAGAAAAACTTACAATGTGAAGAAGCAGAAATCTTAGGGTTAAAGAAGTTTCTAGAGTTAGAAAGGGAAATGTGTGGGGTGAAGGACTGGGATTATTTAG